GAGAGAGAGAGAGAGATCATGTAGGCTACATCTACATTTACATTGTGAGTAAACTCTACTTTGTTTTCTTTGCAATGTGGATGGAGCTGGCAAAAGGTAATTCACAGTTAACAGTTAGGTTTTTATGATATTAAATGGAAAACCTGGATGCTTCTGTTTCAGTCTGTTTTGAGTTGTGTAGAGAAACATTTTGATAACTGTTCAAATAGGATTAAGTTTTGTAGGGAACCATGTACTTTCAAGTCTCTGGAGCTGCAAGTAAAAATGCCCAACTTTAGAAAATAGTTTGCCCTTATCCCAAAGCTTCATAAAAAAGAAAGAACCACTGTATATCATTTAAATGTTCAATTCCTACATAGGCCTCTTCTGGTCTTTGTTACTGAGGTATGTAGGACTACATCATAAATTTAATGGTTAAAGACACCCTGTTGTGTTTCTGACCACCACTAGGAGTGTTCTTGTGAACGAACCTCCATTTTGTTGACGTACATGAATGATGCATGGCGTGATACACATTCCTCAAGGATTCACACAATGCATTTGGTGAGTAACACTGAATGTAAACATAACTTTTGTTTGTTTGCAAGAAAACCCCACAAGGCTCCTTTTAATGAATGCTATTGACTGTGAAAACTGGTCTTGTAATGTGTGTTTAAAATGTAAAGGGTGATGCACTCAATATGTAACTTCTTTAAGGAAATATTATAGGTACATTTACTGATTTTGTAAAGACTTTTGGATTTGGAGATGCTATAACCAACAGAATACAAAACTCTCAGTGGTGAGAACAAGCACTGAAGCTTCTGGGTGATACAGGGAGTCATCATTAAAAGTACAATACATATGGTATTTGTTGTGCAGTTTGCACCACTAAGTACACTTTTGTAACCATGCATTCTCTCTAATTTGAACATTCAAATGGGAGATCACAATGGGAACAATTGGAAATATCATACAGTACATGCCAGTCTTGGCCTTTCTAAACCAATTTAATAAGTGAAACCACATAAACTCAAAAAGCCCTGAGAAAATCTGTTTTGCAGAGAAAACAGGAAATCACCAGGGTCTCAAAACTGCCAATTGACAACATACATCAATTTCTTTTTCCATCAAAATAAATATGCAGCAGTTCTAACAAGTATCTTCATTGCCATGTATTTCTTAATTTGTATTCTCACTTCTTGGTGCAGCAGAGTGTCACTGTGCTGATTAAATGGCATTACATGTGGACCCAGCACTTTAGCCCAACCCGAGCTGAGATTCCAGTGGTTAACCACACATATTTACAACCAGAAGACAAAAGTCACAGTGAACTCGATCCCTGCGGGTCCCTCTGTTAAATATACACATGGATTTTCCCTTTTTAATGGTGTGTTTTCATACTGAGTAAATATGTAATCCATCTAAAGAGCATTTACAGTGATTTCCATATGTAGCAAGAAACACAACATTGTTTGTATTTTTTTAATTGCACATGGTCATATTATATTACGGGAGAAACCTGACTGAGAAAACTTTCTCCTGTTACTTATAATCAAAATATTAACATCTTAAATCATTTATGTTTATTCATGAGCTTTGAACATCAGAGAGCATTTTTCCATGCTAAGAAGGTTCTGGTGCTAAGATACAGGTTGGCTGCTGACTTTCTGAATATAGGAATTTGATGAGCAAACATGATAAGGTCTTCATGTTACACACACAACAGACTATTTACAGTGCTTGCAGCTATGTGCATGTAAACTCTTGCCTGCTCCTTCATGATTTTAGATACAGAGCCATCAAGCACTTTGACAGCCCAGAGTCCTCATCGACTAGATTATTGTTGGATATTCACCAGCTCCAACAGAGAGTGTCAGATTATGTTTGTAGCCTTAAAGTTCCACTCTAGACACACTTTAAAGTATGTAAAAAAAAAAGGGGGGAAGCAAATCTACTCTTTCTCCCTCAAGGAATTCTGAATCTATGAGTGCCCCGCCCACCTCTGCTGCTCGCGCTAGGTTGTCCGGTGAAAGAGCAGTGTGCTCCGATAGCTAGGTTTAGAGGAAACATTGGAGATATGTGAGTGTGTTCACATTGCATGTTGTTTTTGTCACATTGTTACAGTGTAAGGGTCTTTTCAGATGGGAAGTGACACACAACGCAGATGGTCCGCACCTCCCTAGCTGCCCACTCACCTCTCATTGAAAATTAATTACAAGGCACGGCAATCGCTCCACGTCTGAAAAGACATTAAGGAAAATCCAGGGTCTGATTTAAATCCAAAAACTGCACGTTTGTTGTCAAACCTTTCACTATGCTAGTGCAATCTATTGCTTTCTGTACTGACGCTCTGCGCTGGCAGTTTCAGGCTTTGTTGTTGGTGGCATTTGCTAGACTGCGATTGGCTTTCAGATTTGTAACATACCAAAGCTAGCTTGCCCAGTTTTAGTGAAATGTACAGACACTGCCGAGGAATGTGAAAACACCTTTCAAGTGACAAACTTTACAATACACGATAAAAGTCAGTAAAATCAGGGGGTGGAGGGGATCTTTAATGTTGTTACTCTTGTAGTAGTCAGTTTGTAGTTTGTGTTTCAGACAGAGACACATCTGTTCTGGATGCACAGAGATGAAACTGATATGCATCTTCTTAGGACATCAAAACTTTGTGCGTGCATGTGTGTGTGTGTTTTCTATAAATCTCCAGCTACTGTGAGTCAACCTCAGCTGTTTTTTTCTTCTCTCCCAGATAATCAGTGATCAGTGACTTCCTCAGATCTTCTCTCTGAACTCATCAGGTGCAATTTTCTCTAATTTGCTCTCTGAGCTCACCTTCCAATTTAGTCTTTTTTAAAACAAAAGCACATGCACACAGTGTTTGTTTCATTTCCACAGCAGGCCGAAGGTTGAAGCTGCAGCAAAGGACATTTTGACAGCGAATGGGATGCCCCATCAGTTGTGATGGACTGTGGGTGGTAATTAGATGCTCTGCATTTCTGCGTAGGAGGGACATGAGAGAGCAGTTTGGTGAGGGTGAGTAGAAATCTGAGGAACACTGTTTGGTGAGTCATCTGTGTTTGGTTGTGTTTTTTGATGCTCGTCAGCAGCAGTTCAAAAACACATTTCACTGACATGTTGCTTTAAACAGAGCTGTGTGTTTTGTTTGGTAAAATGCACATTTTACATTCAGGGAAAACTAGCCTCTAGTTAATTTCCATGAATAACTGAAAGCTGTTTTCCATCAAGGAAGTCACAGAAGCCAAAGATTTTAGGGACTACAAATGTTCCTCAGCCGTTACATTAGACTAATGATGAGGTCAATAAAAAAGTTCGGAAATAACTGAACAAACACTGGGGTTACAAATTCCTCAATAGGATGATATTTTATTTTCCTTTATGCATGAAATAATTTGGGTAATGGTCTGAAAACAACATATAGACCTTCAGGTTTGTTGATTAATATATTAATGGATGACCAAAACAAAA